TTCTTCCTGCCCTCTAGGCGACCAGCGTCGGAGATGTGCACTACCTATCCACGGGCACTGCCAATCGATATCACACAAATTCCACTTCAGCCATGGATACCTCACTGGGCTACAGGGAGCAGCGTCTGCTAGAGGAGTTGCGCAATGCCAAAGAGGAACTGGCATCCCTTAGGAGGGCGAACAGTGTTATCAATGAGCCCTGTCAACCACCGATGACGTTGCCACTGCAAAGACGCCACTTGGCGTCAGAAGAGAGCCATCAACAACAGGGTTTTCTATCAAATCGGCAGCAGAGTCACTACTTGTCCCAACACAGTGTGCACCAGGGGTAGGTCCCTTTTCTGCGCCCCCTTACTATCATGTTTGGTGTCATGAGGCGTTATTGGCAAACTGATTAATCCAGTCTGTGGAAGCCTACTACTTAATTCTAGCCACTCGTGACTACTGTTTTCTAAATTAGCGCGGTAAGATTCAAACAATCCTGCGTGAAGGCGTGATGCATTAAGCAAGAACTGGCTCGTGCGTGGCACGCGTAGACTGGCCGCTAAAATGTCAAGTACATTTAATCCAAGTAAATTTTTGATCGTCTTGGCATTGTCTTGCCTATCGCGGTGGCTTATGTGAATAAGGAAGCACCTTGCCGCTGCGATCTTCAGGTCCAGTTCCCTAGGGAAAGAGGAGAAATGGAACACCAGATGGCATGAATAGTATATTCTCTACAGAGGTAGTGGAAAATAGCTTGGATAATGTGGCAGTTGGAGGAGCTTGCGTCCGCAACCTTGAGGGCCGGCGCCCGCAGTGTGAGAATGTGGGAATCATCATAGCGTCCCCAGCGCGGTCATGCGCCTCAGGAAGATGATTGGCCAGACTGGATGGGGTTTAGCAGACACTGGTGCGTGCATGCATGCAAGCAGTAACGAGAGAAAAGAGTTTGAGTGGTGTAATCGGAGTTGGGCCACTACGGACCAAGTAGGTGTGGCAGGAGAAGGCGAGGTAGATTCCACCAAAGGCGTCCTCACTGCGAAAGTCCCTAGTGCTGCCGCCCTTCCTTGGAGCACACGATGGCGGTAGTTATTCGCAACTATCGAACTCTTAAGTACCCAAATACTTATATAGATTTGCTTTTTGCATCGGCTTAAACAATCATGTAATGACCCACGATCCGTGCGCTATCCTACGGTTTCTCATAAAGTGGCACGATCATCTACCAGGTATTTGTGCAGAAAAAAAGGAAACTAGGTTCTTCGCTGCTGGACACGTCTTCTAACAACTAAGCTATCTAGATATTAATCTAATAGACGCCCTTAATGCTTATTTAAAACTATTACTTTTGATTACAGCTCAAGCACTTATCGACCGCAGTCTCGATTGGAAACCCAAAGTAAGTTTTTAAAATTTCAATTTTTAACTGTCGTGTTAAGACTATTTTTGCATGTCCTTAATCGTAAACTTCCCTCTTGATTTTACTTAAACTTTATCAGGTATGTTCTCCTAGGTTTGCATATAGGGATTCATGTTGACTGGTAGAAATGTCCTACCCGAATTTCAAACCCCTTTTAGGAGTAAACTTATCGCTGGCAGTAAGTTGCCCAAAACGCATCCAACGTTTCTGCTTCAAGTCGAGAACTTTCGGCGACTTGTCCTCCATCTGGAAGATGGAGGAAATACAGCCTGGGTTTTATACCTGTAGTGCTATTTTTAATACTGGAAGTATTTGTAGTAGCAGCGGCGACAGAAGTTAACACAAGCACTAAGTAAACAGAAAATGGCGCTGATAAAATTGCGATTGAAATAATAAAGTACTAGCAATTGGAACTCGCCTTGCAAAAACGGCTTGAAGCAACCAAAAAACTATTGTTCATGATTCGATCATTGCAGTGCTACAGCAACTTTTCAAAGCCTTCTTAAAGGGCAAACTTTCCGCTGTTTATTCTCCATTTAAATCTCAACCAATTTTGAAGTAAAAGAGGTCAGCAGGTGATCAGACAGTGTGTAAAAGAAACCCCCAAGTCGGTTGGGCAGAGCAAGTAGCTAGGTATCTATTCCAGCCCTCTTGGGTGCAGACAGCACCACCAACTGCGGTGCATGAGATCTGTCTCAAATTCCCCCTCCTCTCGCGTTCTCCTCAACAAGACTCCCTCTTGCTGTGCTGTGCTATGTGACGTCTGTGTTGTCGTAGTAATCCATCCCGCCTCCGTGCTCTCATAAGAGTCTACTAGCCTCCGTGCTGACCTGAAACTCACCGCACCAATCAGCACGCTCGGTGCAGCAGTCATGGTCTGGTGAGCTAAACCGCAGCTGCCGTGTCTGGCGCCACAGCTCGACACCACGTCTCTCAC